CCCCCCTGCCCCTGCCACATTCCAGCGTTCGAAGCGTCACTGGCTCTTGGCACCCTGGACGAGCTAACCAGGTTCGCCATCTCGCTCCCGGCCGCGCCGGGGTCCCAGCCGTGCCACTCCACTTGTGCATGAGCATCCGGGCTCGGGAACGTGTCTAACTCCGGGCTGGGACTCCCCCTCCTGCCCTCCAGTGCCCAGGGGAGCGAGGCAAGGGGCCCCCCGACAGAAACTGGTTTGTGTCGTAAGCTTTTTTGTGTTTTTTGTCTGTCTGTGCAAGAACTGCAGCTGCTGAAATCAGCTTTGCCTTTAATTAAATCATGTTCTCTCCATCCAGGTCTGTGTGTCGCGTTTATTTCCTGTGGAGCTCAGCCACAGGCTTTTAAAAACGTGGGGTTTTACAGGAGAATTCAAAAGAAAGTTTAAGCTGAATTTTTTTTCCTGTTTGAAAGAGAAGTGAATAAATTGCTGAGATTCTGGCTTGGGCTCAATGCAGATGATTGGGTTGTGGTGGTGTTCTGCCTGCGCGTGATGCGTTTTATGTACCGAACCGAAAATCTGGCGCGGGAGTAGCTTGCGGAGCTCTCCTTCGGTTGCAGGCTGGAGTCCTTGGCCCTGGTAGAGCACAGGCAGCGGGAGCTGGAGGAGACGGATCCTTCTGCCGTCCATCTGCCTGTAAATCGGGAATTTGGCTGTTTGCCGCCAGTGTCTAAGCAGCATGCTTCCAAATGTGTCAAAGAAAACTGCGGGGACACACTGTTTTTTAAATGAGGTGTTTATTTTATCCAAACAGCTCTTCAGAATAAGTTCCTTCAAGAATAAATACGAGTTATCGGGGTTCTCCAGAGCTTGCACGATAAGAACCGAAGTGGGGAGACCGCTGCCCTTCGCCTCTACGAAGCGAAGCGCTCACTGCACGGTGCGTGGCTGTAAATTTTTAACTTGTATATTTTGAGGATGGGGAAGCGTAGAGGATTTTAAAACGCCAGAAAGACCAGGTGTCGGCGGCCGGGGAAGGCGAAATAGTGTGGAAGTGGTGCCAGGGGAAGAGGGGGCCAAACCTGGTGGGCAGGGAGGAGGGCATCAGAGCTGTGTAGGCTGTTGGATAGGGGACAGCTTTACTGCCGTGTCCGAAGGCACTGCCTCTCTGACTGCGGAGACAAAGCTCTGAGGTGCGGCTCCCAAAGGTGAAAAAAAGTGTATATTTTTATAGGTGGGTGCTTTTCAAATCACTGGCTTTGAAGCGAGTTGTCAGCTGGAGCAGGGGGAGGCTGCGCGGCGTCTCCTGCGTCAGCTCGGGGCTGGCAGTGGGCTGTGAGGAAGGCAGTGCTGTTGGGAGGTCAGCCTCTCCTGGCCCGCGGCCGCCTGGACGCAGC